TGATGGGGCAGCTGTAGACTTGACGGTCAGGAGCTTCATGTTGGGGGCGCCGTGCTCACCTGAATCCTGTACGAGCCAGAAGGGGGTGACGAGCGAAGACGGTGCCTGCTTCAGCCCTCCAACGCCAGTGTTCGTCTCAGCCTTAGGCATCTCGATGCCACCACTGGGGGCCAACACGATATTGAACGTCAATCCCTTGGGGTCCTTGTGTGTCTTCATGAACACATGCCCACACTGAACTATATCAGTCTGCTTCTTCAAGTAGATTGCCGAAGAGAGTGGGACAAGCACCAGCTCTTCAGCCTCAAACGAACGCGTTACGGTGAGAGCACGAAGCTTAACAGGCGTAATCACGCCACTCAAGTACTTGAGACAGTTGCCGTTCTAGCTGTATACATCATCCAAGGCCAGCCTGATTTTGGCCTCCTCGATACCCCACTGGTAATCGACAGACTTGAGGGGGCCATGATCAGCGAACTTGTCGATCGTTTCCTTCATGGGGGAGCAGCGGGGAAAAAAAGATGAGACATGACGACGCAGAGCCAAATGAGATGAGGGAACGACGAACGAGAATTCCAAGGTGTGGGGGTGTATATGCATTCCACATGCATTGCGACGGGGTCGCAAGACTGCCCTTCATAATCGTGGACACGACGAACTTGACACGTAAGAAGTCGTCGATGGGGTGGCATGTCGCACTGCCCGTGGCCTGAAGCTTCAACTTCAAGCCAGTCGCAGCGCCGATGGAGATCAGCTCGTAAATGTTCTCACCCAAGGTGTCGCTCGCCAAGGCGACTTTGGCGCCAACCTCAAACCCCCTCACTGAGCTTGTCCACTTGGTTCGACCACTTGCCCGACGCGGTGTGCTCTTTCACATCTGAGCTACGCGCCTGCCCTGTCACGGCTTTGGATGCGCCCTCGCGACCGATCTGCTTCCATGGGCTAGCAACTGCTTTGCCAACGTGCCTTGCCAACGCAGTGGTGAAGCTGACCCCGATGTCATTCAGCGTCTTGCAAGTGCCTAAGCGCTCATCGGGCTTGTTGAACACGAAATGAACTACACGAACGTCAGTCAATCCCACGATGGTGCCGTAGGCGACCGTGTCTGCCGTGATGCCCTCACCGCATGCGATCTGTCGCACTTTCTGAAGAAATTCATCGGCCACCATTACAATCGTAGACTTCTTATCGCTCGACAAGGCGGTCACGTCGCCTGGCTTCAAAAGCATATGATGGCCATCCCTCGCGAACTTACCCGTCGCACATGTCATCGCCTTCATGCATGCGAGCTTGAATGTCGCAGCGGCCCCCTCATGCTTGATCTGCACCTCGGCGAGAGACTTCGCCATTGAACCCGTGACCACGCACTGGGAGGTCAGCTGCCGCGAGAAGTCGCGAAGCTCGTTCAGAAAGATCGGGTTGCCGAGGCCGCCAGACAACTCCTTCACATATTTTACTAAGCCATCGATCTCCCCAGGAAAGAGAGAGCCTGCGCGAGTCGCCTCGCGGATCACACTATCCCAATCGATCATGGTGCCACCCGTGTGGTGTCGGTTGGCAATTGCTGCGATCTTGTACATGAGACTCATGCGAGATTCGCATCTGGCAATTTGTTGGCCTGCATTGCCAGCCTCCTGAGCAAGATTACTAATCCACGGGAACTCCTTCACGAACTCGTACCGAAAGACCTTCCACTCAATTCCTTCGTCGCACGCCTTAGCGTAGTCTGGTTGAACCTCCCGTAACCTCGTCAGTGACAATTTCCCTTGGTGCGAGATTCTGTCGAAACGCTCTGGCATGACCGTGGGTGCTGGAACCCCTGCGTTGATGCAACGCAAACCCATGGATGTGTGGCCGCACGTATAGGATGCGAACTTTGCATCGCAATCATACTGCGGCAGCTGGCCCGCTGAGTCCTCCATTATTTTGAAATTGAAGTTCTTGATTGTATTGTACTCAGGCGTGCCCACTGGTGGAAGTTCCATGCAAGCTGGATTCTGGAGGGCTGAGTTCTTGAATCCATTTTTGAAGATCTTGGAAATCAAATCCATAACCTCGCTCGGAATGATTCCATCTCCGTAACGATTCTCTGTGCACACCATCATATACTTCGAGTGTATTTTTTCTACCCTCAGGCAGTCTATGCCTCTTGCAATGCTGCATACGTCTTCAAGTAATGAGACCACCGCTGCATCAGGATGCAAGTACATGTCCTTGATGGCCATCATCTTGGGGCGGACCTCCGCGATCTGCTGTTCACGGGAGGCGTTCATCACGCCGCGTGCAGGAGGACGCCACAAGCGCCAGCAGCAATCCTCGCCCAAACGGCTGGAGCCCAAACTCTAGTGACATTCAAAAACATGTGCAACAGAGGGTTGCGAATTCGAAATGATATGTTGCATTTGCAATGCACAACATTCTTGTAACGCTCGATACAATATTCTGAATGCGTTCGCACGCAAGTCTGGATCATGATTTCCGATATGCGTGATCCCGAAAATCCAAACACATGCATGCGTTTCTGGAGGCAACATCCAAGGAAAACCCGATGCAGCAGCTCTGTTTTCAAGTAAACATGTAAAAGTTAGCGAAGTTAACAACTTCGCTAACTCAAGCTATCTACCTCCAAATGCACCGCCCGAGTTAGCCGACTTAGTAACATTACTAATGGTTATAACTTACTTGCAACCTAGTTGCAACTTACTTATAACCTACTTACATGTGCTGCTAACAATTAGTAAGGCCGAGGGCCTTCAGGTAGTGTACGCATCTTGTAGTATATCGTTTCCCGAGCGGTTTGATCAGAAAGCGCCCGCCACGACGCATATACTACAAGATTTCTCGGTGCGCGCGTCGCCCCTGGGGGGGGCGACGCACATATTGTATAAATATGTTGGGGTGACGCCGACACCAAAGGGGGGGGTGACCCTGAGGAGGGGGCACGAGTTCGATCTGATGGTGCACCGACCTGCCGCAAACAGATCCCCCCCGCATGTCCCACCCATCGGCAGCTATCGGGAGCTGCCTGCGGCTGGGGGGCATCTGCTGTAAGCGGTTCGGTACAAAAACCGATCGAACTCTCTCACACACACACACATACACAGACACCAGCCCCCCCCCCTGTGGAATCCTGAGATAAGCCGAAAATCTCTGAGATCCGGCGGTTTTGGAAGATATCTCGGGCGCCGCTTCCTCCTCAGAGCGTTCCGGAACGCTCTGAGAGCATTGCGGAAGGATCTGGAACGCGTTTATCCTCGTCCTAGCCCCGTCCGACCTTCCTCCGCTGAGACGGGATCTGCTCCTCTCCTGTAAGGCGCAACGGTAGTGGCTGACCAGCTCTGGGCGGAAACATCGACCTGGAATCGGCGATACATCGCCGATAGACCGGCCATAGACCCCCGACATCGCATCTGCACGCTCCTGGTCGTGGTGGGTTGTCGGGCCCCCACCGGCGATCCATGGGCGACTTTGGGGGTCGATGCGTTCCCCCTTGAGCCCATCCCCCCCTGACGTTGCCCCTGGCTCTCGGGTCATGCCTCGGCCCTCCCGCGGCCGTTCGGGACGACTCCGGCGCCCCGTGGACGCCCTCGGCGAGGCGCAGGTGCCGGAACGCACGCAGGGGGCTGGAGAGCCGCCGAGATCCGACGAGTACGCTAGAAGACTCGACGAGCGCCGCCCCCCTGAGCCTCTCCCTCCCTCACATTTGTTTCCCCACCAAAAAAATGCACTAGCAACCGGTGCCCGCTCATGGGCAGGGGACAAGTTCGACGAAGCGTCATGTCCCTCCCCCACATTGCCTCTGACCCTGATTCGGGGAAAAACAAACCTACCTCGCTTTTGACCACCCTCGCTTCCAAGAGATACCAAACGATGCCAAATTGCAGCCTGTACTAGTCAGGCCACTTGACGAGGAGGCGCGTGGTATGGCTTGGTTTTGCCTGGAAGCGAAAGCGGGGTAGGTAATTCACGCTCTGACTGATCCTCGGGTGTTCGCCCACGGGGAGCAACAGCAATACGAATGGGCTCAAAGAATACTTGAAGACACGTACACGCCTTGTGGGCCCGCGGTGGCAGTTTTTACGGGAGCCGTTTGGGACCCCGTGCGGGCCACCTTCGGGCAACCTTATCGCCCCCCCCCCTCCCCGCTCCTTTGAAGGGCCCCCAGGACACACAAACAAATACACACAAATGAAAAGATTCCCCATATTTTCCCATATTTTCTGGGTTTCTGTCTTCCCCCCCACTTCCCATATTTTCCCATATTTTCCTGGGAGTGGACGATTAATTGTGTCTGTGTGTTTCTTTTCCTCCTGATCCTTGCCTCCCCCATATCTCCCCGCCCGCCCGGGACACCTTGGCGGGCTCGTCTTTCCCCGGCTCGTAGCACTCCATGGTCACCTGGGCGATCTGCTGCCCCGGGTCAACGCAAACCCGGGTCGGTCGGGCTTTGCCGGATCCTGCAGGATCCTGCGCGCTAGCCCTTCGGCTAGACGCGTGCGCGACCTTGGGCAAGAGTGACTCTTGGTGTGCGAATCGCCGATCGCTGCATGCGGTGCAACAGTGACGGCCTGTGCGTTTGGGCGTGACCCTCCCGCGCCACCCAGAAGCCGCGCACCAAAGGTCACTCCGACAGAGGGTCACTCTTACGTGTAGCCGATTGGCTCTGCAGGATGCTGCAAGATCTGACGATCTGGCAAACCCCCATTTGCATTGACCCCCGTCCCTAGACCCCCGACGTCACGACTTTTTCCTGACGTCGACCCCCAGAGGTCTCGAGCCCTTCCCCACGACCGCTCCTTCACCCTGAGTCCTTTTGTTCACGGCCCGAGGCCTGGCAGGGGCCCCCCCGAAGCCGAGAATGGCGGAAACCCTCCCGTCATAATTTTTTCGTGACTCGAGGGGGGCTGGGCCCAGAGGCTCCCGATCACCGCGCCCCAATCCTCGCCCGGGCCGCCCGCGGCGGCGCCCGCGGGCCCGCCGGGCGCCCGGCACAGCCACACCGCGCGCGCCAGGCGCCCGCGGCGGCCCTGCACCGACACCACGACGGACGCGGCCCGCAGTGCGTCGTCGGCGTCCGCCAGCACCTCTGAGCACTGGGCTCCTTTTTGACGTTGCGCAGACTTGAGGCGTGCAGTGGGCTCCTCCTCCTCCTGCTCCTCCTCCTCCTCCTCCTCTTCCTCCTCCTCGTCGTGGTCCTCCTCCTCCTCCTCCTCCTCCTCCTCCTCCTCCTCCCCTCCCTCTTCCTTCCATCCTCCTCCTCCCTTCCTCCCCCTCCTCACACCCTTGTCCCCATCTTCTCCCTCCTCCTCCTCCTCCTGCGCCTCCTCCTCCTGCTCCTCCTCTTCCTCCTCCTCCTCCTCATCATCATCATCCTTCCCTCGTCCCCCTCCTCCTCCTCCTCCTCCTCCATTCTTTTTCCTTATAATTAAGTTCGCCCTGTCGCACCCCGAGGCAAGTTTTAGGGCGGGCGGGGCGTCTCGCCTCAGAATTCCTCACCATTTATGACCCTGAAGCTGATACGTTGACAACAGTTTCAAATATGGAGGGCGGGTGGACTTCAAAATGTGGTTCTCGCCCTAGCACCGCGCACATTCGTTTTCACAATTTGCACAGGCTTCACGGATTGAGGGCGGATGGTGTTCACAATGTGGCTCTCGCCTTAGCGCCACGCACATTCTTTCTCAAACTTTGCAAGAGTGTCATGGATTGAGGGCGGTTCCGTTTCATAATGTGGCTCTCGCCTTAGCGCCGCGCACTTTTGTTTCAAGAATTGCAAGATTTGAACGGGCTTCCATGATCAACGTACCAGAATTTGCGTTCTGGAAAAATTCAGGATTACGAGGGCGCACCATAACATGAATTCGCGGTGCTGAAGTCCCAAGAACGGCGTTCTTGCAGGACTCAGGATCGTCAAGACGCAACAGTCAAGTTGATCCGTCGCGTTCGAATCCCGAGAACCATGTTCTGGCACGCTTCAGGGTCTTCAAACGGTTGCCTTCCAACGAGGCAGTTCCCTCAGTGGAAATGAACTCGTGTAGGGGCCTATGAAGAGGGAGCCTGGAGGGAGGGTTTATCCCAACATCATTGGTGACTCTTTGGTTTACACTGGTCCTCCTCCTCCTCCTCCTCCTCCTCCTCCTCCTCCTCATTCCCTCGTCCACATCTTCTCCCTCCACCTCCTCCTCCTCCTCCTCCGCCTGACGAGGCCTTCGGCCGGGAACTGCTTACCCAGCGTGTCGCTCCGAGGTGTCGTGGGGGACGTGGCGACGCGACGCGCTATGCCTCGCGAGTGGATGGCGTGTCGCTCCGCTCCGCAGTGTGGAAGGCCTTGGAAGGGCTCGGAACGTGGACACCTGAGGACTGGGATGTGGATAGCGAGTCACGCCGAGGCGTTGTGGTGGTGGGCCAGAGTCGGCGGCGCCATACGCGGTGAAACAGTTGCTGACCGCGCGCAAATCCGCTGCTCCAAGCCAGGCCCATCCTGGGACCGGGAGCGGTGCTGCACGCTCTCCAGGCTTGGCCAGGGAGGCCTGCATGCACCGATCCTGGTCCCAGGCCTGGGCCTGGGCAGTCGACACTGTATAGGTCTCGTCGCCCCAACCTCGACGGCGGCGACGCGCACTGGCGGTATGGAGGAGCCCTCGTCGGTGTCCAGGGGGACGGCCTGCGTACAGAAACAGAAGCTGGCAGAAGCATGCACTCTCGGAGGTCCGCGGCTCAGACTCTTGACATCGGCCCTGGGCCCCCCCGGGTGGCGCCTCCGGCGCCGCCCCTGGCGTCGCCCCTGGCGCGCCATGCCACGGCGCCGACCCCACAAATCCGCGCCGCGGAGGTGCGAGAGCGACTGTTTATCAATACTTCTCTTCGTCGAGGCCTGGAGCGGCGGCTCCGCGGCGTCCATCGCGACGTCCACCTCCAGCTGCGCCGTGGTCGCCCTGGGCCCGGGGCTCGCGGCGTAACGCCCCGCCGCCAGCTCCACCCAGCGGCCCCCGCCCAGGTCGCTGTCGACCAGGAAGCGGAGCACCAGCGCCACGCTGGCCTCGAAGGTCGACTGGGCCTGCACCTCGAAGGCGGCTTGGCCGTCGGCCGCCGGCACACGAACGCCCCGCTCCAGCGCCCTCGCGCAAGGCGCCATGCACTTGGCCCCCGCGACCTGTACGCGCAGCATGTCCTCCTCGGGCTGATACGCGAGAAGCAGCAGACTGCACAACCAGAAACGCTCGGAGTTCCGTGCGAATTCCTTGTGTCGGCGCCGGAGCCCCCCTCGCGGCGCCTCCGGCGCCGCCCCTTCCGCGCTCCGCGCGCCAGGGAGGAGGGGAGAGGCAGCGCCGATCCGAGAGAAATCCGCGTGGAACCACGAGAGTTCATCGGCGGCGAACCTTGGGGGGAAGGTCGAGGGGGCGGGCCTTTCCAGAAGGCTCGGAAGGACTCGGGCCGTCAGAGAAATTTTCTGAGCCTTCTCCGAAGATAGAGACGGCTTCTCAGAAGGCCGAAGGGCTTCTGAGAAGCCCCGCCGCCTGCTGAGGAGGCTTGCCCCCTCTCACTTCCCCCGCGGGCGCGCCGCCGCGTCTATGCGGTATGCCGAATTCTGCTCCTCGCGGGATACACGAGCACGGGAGTCCTCCGCACCCTCTCCACGCCGACGACGAGCTGCTGCCCCCTGCTCTGCGAGGCGGCGACTATTTATCAATGGCCACCGCCTCGGGGATTTGTATCCAGAGACCCCAGCAGGCAGCGGATATGGACGCCTTTGGCACTCCCACCCCAGACTTCGCGCAGATTGAATATTTCAATCCTGGAGTTTCTCCTCGATTCCGGCCTCCTGGGGCAACGTTCGAGCCGCAGGACCATCAGACAGGGACCCAGGGCGAACGACTACCCTTGGGGGAATGGTCGAGACCTCTGAGAACCACGGATTGAAGAAATCGGCCCATCCGATCCCCAGGACAGGGCCCGAATACATCCACATTCACCGCCACCTGAGGCCCCCGAAGGTCGAGCCCCGAGGCGGTGGTCATTGGCGTAGCCCGGAGATCCAGCCTCACGAAGCTCTGCAACACCGTGCCAGAGGAGCTCCACCGGAGCCCTGGACACCACCCTTCTGCTGCAGGTTATCGAGCCCGCACAGTCCGTGAGGGACCCGTGGCCCAGGAAAGGGGGGAAGGGGCTCGCCCCCCGGGGAAGAACGGGAAAGCCCTGCGTTGCCGGGATCTCCAAGAATGGGGCGACTCCCCGCCCCGCACCTGCTGCGGAGCTCCTGGGGCAGGCTGGCCTCCAGGGCGCGGTGCAGCCGCTCCTGGGGAGACCGGCAGGCACCCGCGCTGCTGCTCCCAGGACCACTCTCCCGGGGGTGCGGTCTGACCAGGAGCTCGAGGCGGCGAATCCAGCGGTGGCGACGAGGGCCTCCCAAGAGGCCCAGAATGGCGCAAGCGAAGGGGGTCTGTTTTTTTAGTGACTCTGGTACATTTACTTGCAAGGACGGGGGGGAGGCCGAACCTGAAGCAAGCCAGAAGCGACGGGCACGTGCGGGAATCACGCAAGCCGAAAGGCACTTGCACGCTAGTATTTTCGTTTGAAGCGGGGCGAAAGGGGGGGAGGGGCGAACGCCATGCAAGCAAACTTGCCTGACTCTTATATTCCTCTTCCTATAAGCTCGGAGGGGGGGGGAAAACCATCCCCCCCCCAAAAAAAAAACTGGACCCCCGGGATCTGGGGTTCTCGGGCTCCCTTGGACGTCCTTGGAAAAGGTCACCCGGCTTTGCGGGTCTCCACAAACGCCTTGCCAGCAGACCCAGAGCGATCCGAGGGGTCATCAGAAAGGCTCAGGGGAGGCCTCAGGCAGCACAAGAGCGCTCCAAGAGGAACTCCAATTGCGTCAGGACGGCCCACGAGGGCCCCGAAGACACCCCTACGATGTTTCCGAATGCCAACATAAAGACCCCCAAGGCACCCCAAAAAGCTTTCCAAGGGGCCTTCAAAGCACACAAATCGTCCCATTCCCTTCGTAAAACTTACAAATTAAGCATCTTCGCCTTTCGGATTTCATCAGCTTTCAAAACGGTTTCAAAGCCCCCGAGATCGCCTCCAGACGCCCCAAAAGGCCCCCAAGAAAAGCTTCAAGACGGCCGAGCCGGGCCCCACGATCGCCCACGAGAGCCCCAAGACAGCCCATAATGGAACCAAGAGGCCCCCCAAGGGCTCCCAGCACAGACCCAAAAGGGCCGTGGGAGGTCCCGGAAGTGCCCAAGATGGGTCCAAAGGGGGCTCCAGCGGGCCCAAGCTCCCCAAGACGGCCCAAGAAGGCCCCAGGACGGCCCATCAAGGCGCCAAAACGGCCCACGAGGGCCCCGAAAACACCCCCACGATGTTTCCGAATGCCAACATAAAGACCCCCCCCAAGGCACCCCAAAAAGCTTTCCAAGGGGCCTTCAAAGCACAAAATCGTCCCATTCCCTTCGTAAAACTTACAAATTTAGCATCTTCGCCTTTCGGATTTCATCGGCTTTCAAAACGGTTTCAAAGCCCCCGAGATCGCCTCCAGACGCCCCAAAAGGCCCCCAAGAAAAGCTTCAAGACGGCCGAGCCGGGCCCCACGATCGCCCACGAGAGCCCCAAGACAGCCCATAATGGAACCAAGAGGCCCCCCCTCCCAGCACAGACCCAAAAGGCCATGGGAGGTCCCCGGAAGTGCCCAAGATGGGTCCAAAGGGGGCTCCAGCGGGCCCAAGCTCGCCAAGACGGCCCAAGAAGGCCCCAGGACGGCCCATGAAGGCGCCAAAACGGCCCACGAGGGCCCCGAAAACACCCCCACGATGTTTCCGAATGCCAACATCATTGATTTTGCTCCCATGACATTTCACATTGTGACCCAGTCGTTGAGGGTCTCGTGGCATGCAGCGAAGATGCCCGAGGATGCCCCGTTCGAATTGATATGCATGTTCATATCTTACACACCGTGCATATGTACGCTGTAAACACACATACAACAATGTAAGGTATACACCAAGATATTCATACGGAACGTGCATGCACGTGCGCGTGTATATATGCATGCGCGCATGTACGCACGCACGCATTCCGCTTGCGTGCCCAAGCTCCCCAAGACGGCCCAAGAAGGCCCCAGGACGGCCCATGAAGGCGCCAAAACGGCCCACGAGGGCCCTGAAAACACCCCCACGATGTTTCCGAATGCCAACATTCATTGATTTTGCTCCCATGACGTGTCATATTGTGACCCAGTCGTTAAGGGTATCGTGGCATGCAGCGAAGATGCCCGAGGATGCCCCGTACGAGTTGCATATGCATGTTCATACCCTTACAAACATTAATTTATATGTACTGATGTACGCTGTAAACACATACAACAATGAACGTATATTGGATACACCTAGACATTTATACGGAACGTGCATGCACGTGCGCGTGTCTACATGCATGCGCGCATGTTCGCACGCACGCAGTCCGCTTGCGTGCAGAACTCAAAGGACCAAGGTGCGAGGCGCGCAGCGCCAATGCAGTCTTGTATATATATATATATACACAAGACTGCATTGGCGCCTCGCGCCATGCACCTTGGTCCTTGAGGCTTTACTTACCTTGGTCGTTCGCGC